CCTTCGAAGATACGAAAATGGTTGCTGATTCTCTTTATTTACACCATACAATTCGTGGTCATGATACCGAGTATAATGTACATAATTTTAAAAGTGAAAAACAACGGACACCGGATTAAGTTAATCATGCCTCACTTCAACGCCTTTTGCCAAGTGTGCAAATATACTATCGTCTTACGGCGGCATAACGAGATTCGTCAGTTACTGGACGACATAAGAAATGATTGGTTGAATGCTACGGAAGAGGATCAATGGATTTACAAAACCAGAGCCACCATTGGACATAGATTGGTGATATCGTTCATGATCTTTTTATACACCGGCGGTACGAGTTTGCGAACAATCACTCCATTTTTGAGAGAGAAGATCGTTCTACCGAATAACACGACCTTAAGACCTTTACCGTGTCCTGGTTACTTTTTCTTCAACGAGCAACTCAGTCCCAATTACGAGATCATTTTTTTCGTACAAGTCTTCTGCGGATTCGTCAATTACACGACATTATCTGGAACTCTCGGGCTTTGCACGATGCTTTGTCTACACATGTGCAGCATGCTGAGAATCTTGGGGAATAAAATGAACAAGCTTTCGAATTTGCCTAAGACGGATGAAGACACTGTGCAGAAAGAAATCGTGGATATCGTTGAGTATCACGCGAAATTCAAAGGGTGAGTCTGTCTTTTTAAATAGTAATATGAAAACAAAATAAATCATTAAAGATCCTATTTGCTTTCGAATATACAGTACGAGCCGATATCTATTGTCATTTCAAATGTTTTCGATATTATTAATATTTAGAGAAAAAATTATATTATATTTCTAACATCAATTTCTTGTCTAACAATAAAAATATCGTACATATTTAAACCAGTAATAGTTCAAACGTATATATTTAGTGTCACTTGCTCAGAATGGGAGTAATTCTTCAATGGTGCATTCTCTTTCCTGCAGTTGAAATATTTTCCTGCATCGTTAGTAGTTTATCTCTAATATAAATAATGAGGAAAGATAACATTTAAATATGAGAATCTATTTAGAGAGTTATCTGAGATATTGTATGCAGATGTTGTATCATTTACTCAAAGTAATTCCAATAACCGTAATTCTAATGAAAACTTCATTGCAGATATTTCAATCGCGCCGAACGTGTTACATCCATCATTTACTCATTGGTGATCGCTGGCGAAGTCGTAATGATGTGTGTATGTGGATATAGCCTAATCATGGTTGGAACAAACAATTACAAAAATGCTGCTAAAGGTGCATTATGTCACAACTTCTATTTTCGTAATCTGTTAATGACCATATTTCAGGAATGGGAAAATAGCAATACTGCAGTTTTAATAACGTACTTTATATTGCAAATGACAACCATAATCGGCACATTCACGAATTGCTACGTTGGTCAACTTCTTATCGATGAGGTACAGCACTGATTGTTAAAAACAGAATTTTCTCTGAAATGACAGTACTACGATTTGCATTGTGAAATTTTTTTGTACCAGGGCAATATTGTTAAAAAGATATCTAATACGTTAGACTGGCATCAGCTTCCTGTGAAAAAGGCACTCTGTTTGATCATGATTATTGCTATATCGAATAATCCAATGAGAGTCACAGCAGCAAATTTAATACATTTGTCTCTAATTACGTTTACTGATGTGAGTATTAGCAAAACTGTCGTCCACAGAAGTCTTTTAAAAGAACATTTTCCGAAAGGAACATATTTACTTAATTTTTCCTTATCGCTCTTCTGCGCCAAAAGTGGAACAACTCGGAAATGTTTGTTTGGAGAAACGAAAATTTGATTTTAAACAAACAAACATTATTTTGTTAGTTGTAGAAACAACTTAATTGAAATTAGTGCACTTCTCATCCTATCAACATGTATCTTTACACAATTATAATCAAGATAAAATTCGTAATAAGAAATATATTCTTATAGAACGCAGCACAATGTGATATAATTCATGAAATCCTTTTTATCAGCTGAATTACGAAGATCAATGAGTCAGAATTTCATAATGAAGATGAACTGTTTCTGTAGTATTTCACATTGATTAATTGAAATTATTAATTAAGTACACAAAGTGCTTCAATTCTGA